TCTGTGAATATGTGAAAGAAAAAAAACAAAGGCACATATTGAAAAGCTGCTGTACCCTCTAGGTTATTAGCGCCAATTTTTCGACCGTCCGAGTAGAACTGAAGTTTGTCGAGCGATGAAAAGTAAAAAATGAGCCTCCCTTGGTTTTTATTTTTTTCGTTCATCTTCGGCAGGGAAGCAACGAAACGAAAGTCTCGCAAGCCCGACGAAGACAGTTGGCTTTTCGGCTACGCCCCAACCTCCTAACACATCACACACACTGCTCTGCTCTGCCTCACCTCACACACAGCATCTGCGCCTTTCCCACATTTCCTACAACAACCACTGTGGGTTGTGCCCAGACATTTCATTAATTCATATTCAATCTCTCCCTCCCCCTTTTCCACATGGAATTTCATTTTCTCATCGAAAAAACATTCGCCACTTGGCCGATGACACGGTGGCCATACGTCGGTCCTAACGCGCAATTACCGTAGGTTTTGAATGCTGACGACGAATGACGCCATCGCGCGACGTTGCGACATTCTACTCATTAACATTATTCATAGGCTTCTGATAAAATCCTTAATATTTATCCCACTAATTTTGCCGTCCTGGAGCGATCAATTTTTTAGCAAGGCCATATGGGAATGCTAAGCCTCGAAATGATGCTAGAAACTATTTTAAACGACATTTTTTGGATGTTTCATGTCTTTAGACTTGCTGAATTGAATTTTATAGCCCATTTTGTCGTTAATCAGTCACTTTCTTCGCATAAAAATTCCCCATCATCGATCCTCGAGTTACTTTGCTTTTTGGAGTTCATCGGTTTTTAATTTATTGCATACCCGAGCCGATAAAATCGTTTCCGCCCTTTCGAATGTAAATGTAATCTGCTGTGTATGTATCGCATTGACTTTTACATTTTATTATGCATACAGGCAGAGAATTTTCGTCAATATCCCTTTTATTTCGTCCGGAATCCCATCCTCACTCGACGTCCTTGTCCCCGATATAGTCGTTGTTTCTCGCTTTGATTCGATTTTCTGTGGTGTTGAATTTTTCAAAAGATTGAGCCTTTTTCTTGACAGATCCGGAGGGCATTCCATCCGCTTGGGTGAATTAGCGCCAGTATGGAAGATGCTCATGCGAAGACGGGCGATGAGGTATAGTTTTATTTTCTGCTATTAATGCATTGGGGGAGGGAGGCTTTCTCCCGATCGATTGATCAATATCTCGCTTGAAAGACGCTGAGATTATTCATCGGGTCGTTTTAAATGCTACCTCGGTAAAAGAAGCAGAAGAACAGTCTGCCACGTGGTCACCCTCCCCCAGATACGTTAACACCTATTTTCTCTTTTTTTTTCTTCGAATGAATCTCAATATTCGAGTGCATTTGGTGGACCAGTAAAGAGTTCGTTAAGTTTGAGTAGTTATAGGTTTGCCGCTTCTTCAACGTGGGACCCGACGGGCTAACTGAGGGCCAAGTAGAGGCTGCAAGAGAGAAATATGGCTACAACGGTACGTTTTCATTGGTTTTGAGCATTAGCCATCAGTTGCTCGTTGATCAACGTTAATGTAGTATAGGTCCGAGTTCTATTCGAAATACTTCGGAAGTGGAAAGTGCCCGAAGTGGGGGTATTCTTTCGATGAGTGACGAAGAATCTTTGAAAAAAGAGATCAAAATCGTTGATTTAGTTGAAAAAACGAACTGAGAAGTGTTGAAGGTTGGGGGGGGAGGGGCTGAGGCAAGGACGTTGCTCAGCTTTCGTTTCAGAACCAGTTTTCACCCTGTGGTTAACTTAAACTAGCTTATTCGTTAACACGGAACTTGCTGTTCTGCAGACCTCCGCTCATCTGCTCCCGCTAACCAATTTTCAGTCAGCTTTGATGCAAGCGTAACCAATTTTTTTTGGTTTTCTAGTTGCTTCTTGAATGCAGATCTACCAATAAAACGAAAAGA